GGCTAGTTTTTTGTATTTTTTAGTAGAGACGGGGTTTCACCGTGTTAGCCAGGATGGTCTCGATCTCCTGACCTCATGATCCGCCCGTCTCGGCCTCCCAAAGTGCTGGGATTACAGGCGTGAGCCACCGCGCCCGGCCATGTGTCAAGTTTTATATGCTACTCAAAATAGTACAGATAGGCGTACTTTTTATAGACTAAGGAAGTATGTATTTAAATCTACTCCTTTCAGAATTGGTCTTCTCATTTTCTCCTGCTCACTATCTCTTATTCACCCCCAACAAAGCCCTGTTTCCAATTCTTTTTGTTGAGACTCTGGTGCCAGCCAGTGTTTGTCACTATCTCCATCTCCTTCTATGGTCTTTTATGTCTCTTTATACCTGCAGTAAACATGAATCCTCCCCACTCAGCTTTCCCAGAGCGTCACACTCTGGCTTCCCTTCTTCCATGTCCCCGGAAGCCTGAGAGACCACAGTCGCAGAGGACCTGGGCCCCATTCATGTGCTCACCTGCTTGTGTCTGCCTGTTCCGAGTCCTTGCTTTCGCTGCAGGTTGCCTTTTGCTCTTTGCTCCTGTTTCAGCTCTTCTTAATCAAGCAAGCCTCATGAACCACATTCACCTTTGTGCCAGTTTGCAACTAACAGTGTGGCATTTTGCTAACTCACTCCCTTCTCTATCCTTCTCTCCTCCCTTACTCTCTTTTTCTCTGGGTACACAATTGGTTCATCTACTTCTATGACAGTTAACTGCCAACTAGTAGGACTAGTGCTTATAGGGTGGAAGTTGCTCAGGAACTAATTTCTGTGTTTTTGTTAGGCAAATAGAAAAGTTAATAGCACTTCTCAATGCCTTCCATCTGTGACACAGAATTTAGAAACATGGTTGGAACATAACTTGGTCTCTTAAAAAAAAAAAAAAACAAACTTTAGATATCTGGGCATTGAACTGTCTACTTAATAAGCATGTACTGAGTATCTAATATATATCAGCCACTCTGTTCTTGATATACACAGTGGAATCAGATATAGGCTCAGATATAGAAGAAATTTCAGCTTACTGGAGAAAACAGGGCTGGGCACAGTGGCTCATGCCTGTAATCTCAGCACTTTGGAAGGTCGAGGCATTACTTGAGGCCAGGATTTCAAGACCACCCTAGGCAACACAATGAAGCTCTGTCTCTACAAAAATAAAAAAATTAGCCGGGCATGGTGGCATGCACCTGTAGTCCTAGCTACTCAGAAGGCTAAGGTGGGAGGATCGCTTGAGCCTAGGAGGTCAAGGCTGTGTGAACCATGATTACATCACTGCACTCCAGCCTGAGCTACAGAGCAAGAATCTGTCTCAAAAAACAAACAAACAAACAAAACCCAGACAAGTAAACCAATGGCTGTAACATACTGTGATAAATTCTCTGACAGAAATGCACATAAAGTGCTACAGGAACAGATATAAGGGACAAGAAACTCGGCTTGGAAGGGGAAAGGTAAAGGTGGGATGGGACTGGGAGGCTTCTTGAGGGAAGAGAGGTAGGAATTATCCTGGGAAAACGACACAAGGAGAATTCTGAGAACTTCAAGTATTAAGAGCTTGGTATAGCTGAAATACAGAAGTGTACTAGAATAAAGACGGCCAATAAAATAAGGGCTCTGGAAGCAGAGAATCAGATTTCAAAAGGAGTGGACTTGTTTTCCTTTCCCATAGTGACACGTGATTGTTAGTTATGTCTTTCTGTTCCCTCCCTAAGCAAATATCATTTTGATTGACTTGGATAAAATGATACAGTATCTCACAACAGTGGACAATGGGATAGGTGACTAGAAAGGTCCACCAAAAGGTCCAAAAAGAGTGAAACGTAAAAGCTCCCACTGACAATTCATCTGAGCTCCATAGAAAAGCTAGCCTTAACAAGTTAAAAATTAAACATAAGGCAAGTTTAAAATGTAACTAGAATGTAATCAGTAAGCTGAACTATGGAACCAATATAGTCAAACCACCCAGTGTGTAAGTAAGCCAAGCCAAGCAAAACCAAGGTAGGTCTAATAAGCTAAGTTCAGGACAGGCTGCAGCAGAGTGAGATATGCCTCATTTGAGGATATAACTTAAGACCTACATACCTAATACAAAGGGCCACAGCCCTGACACACCTTGCTATCTGAAGGATGTCTAAGGTAGGGGGTGCATGATATCGTTTGTATTCCCAAAGTCAAGTATTAATATTAAGCCTGGAACATGCTGGACACC